CAGTGGCATTCTTTGTAATTATGTTTTTTTCTGTAATGTTTAACAGGGGCACGCTGGGTATAAAAAATATACCCGAAATATGATAGTAATAAAAAAAATATCTGTATGTATCTGGTAATTTCATATAAAATGTTATACATCTGAGTAAAGTTCCCATTTTTTTATTGTTCTTCAATCACTAATGATTGTTATCTTTTATAGAAATGGAGACCTTGAATTCACAGCCACGAACAAAGCTTTAATGGGTGTGTCGTGAGGATGAGGTAATTTTAGAGTCTTTACCCTTTTGATACGTGGCTTTATATGGTTTCATTTGGTTTAAGAAGCTAAACGATTAAGAAGATTTCTTACATGACTTTGAAATCTAAATGGTCTCTCAGGGAATCAATATGAATTTCATCTAACATATTTGTTTTTCTCTTTTTCAGTTTATCAAGGAAAAATATGAAGATGAATGAATGAGAAGAAGACTACAAAGACATCAAGATATATCACTTGATTTTTTGAACTTTTTGCTATTTGCTTAAACTTTTGCTACTTGCTTAAACTTTTGGTAATTTGATGTATCAAACCTAAATTTTATGTATACTTAAAATATGAGATAACTATGATAATCAGGTTATAATGTGAATCTGACCGGATCCGGATATCCGCGGATATCCGGGTTTTTTCACGGATATCCGGGTTTTTCACGGATATCCGGTTTCCGGATATCCGATGTTTTCGGAGCCGGATCCGGATAGTAATATTGTGGATCCGCCGGATCCGGATCCTGATCCGGATACCATGAAATTTGCCGGATATCCGGATCCGTCTCAGGGCTATCTGAATGTATTAGTCTTGGATGTTCGGTTCTTGATAGATCCATTCGATTTGCGGTTTGATTCAGGTTAAGTTTCGGTTTTAAATCTGTTCTAATATATTTTACCAATTTTGTATTCTGTTTGAAGTGTCTCGTCCTCTGCGCAGATCTAAAGTCGTCAATCTTCCTCAGGGAGGTTCCACGACTGTAAGGTTTCAGTATGAGAGAGTTAAAAAAAATGCTATGAGTATCAAAGGCTCACTCATGAAAAGGACGTTTGCCCTATCCTTGTCAAGAGAAGATAGAATGATGCGGTTGGAAGAAGAGAAGGAAAGCCATGTCCAAAGCCTCCTAAAGTAAATTTTCTCAAAGAGACGGATCCCCTGTTTGGTGTTTTGAAAGAAGATCAGGTGGGTATTGATCCTCGTACTGGTAGGCACATGATCGCTGCTAAGGTGCTTGAAGGTATGAGGAAATATCTGATGGTTGACAATAATGAGGATTAATCTGATAGAATCAGAAAGTCAGTGAGTGAATGAAAAGGATCTTCTAGTGGTGCATCTTGATGCTAACAAAGATAAAGGTGTGCTTTTTGGTTATGGTGAATCAGAGATGCTCTCTTAAAGGATATCTCCTCTTGATATTGGTCCTAAGGCAAGCTCATCCTAGTTACTTGGCAGCTTTGAAAGATCTTGGTTGATCGAATCTGATACTCTGCTTCTCCCTGAAGTGCGTGGAAACTTTCTTGCTCTATTTTAGCTTTTTCAAGATAATGCAACGGTTTATAGGCCTGGTCTCTTTGAAGGTGGACCTTCCGGCACTATCTTAAAAGGTCTAAGTCAAGGAAAAGGCCTCCAAAAAATAGCAGAAAGCCTAAACCAAAGAATGCGGGGGCTGTTTTGTATGGTCATGAAGTTCAGATGGGTCTCTTAGTTGGTGTGAAAGAAAAAAGAAAAGCAGAAGACGAAGTCCAAGCTCTGGTAAATCTACAAAGCTTAACGCTAATAAGGTGATCCCAAATGAGGGATCGCCCATTGTTTAATGAGCATCATCAGTTCGAATTTTCAAGGCTTGGGACGGTCTCAAGACTTGGTGATTCCGCGTCTTAAGGAGTTGCGTAAATAATACATCTCTGAGATCTTGTTTTTGATGAAAACCATGCATTGTAAAGATAAGTTAGTAGATTTGAAAGTTCTTCTAGGGTATGAAGGTTTACACACTGTGGAGCCAGTTGGCAAGTGTGGTGGTTTGGCGTTGTTGGGGGAAAGTAGCATTCAAATAGATATCCTCTATGAAGATAAAAATCTAATTGATGTACAAGTGTATTTTGGTTCTTCTAATTTCTTCTTATCTTGTGTTTATGGAGATCCAGATAGTAGTATGAGAAGTGTAGTTTGGGAAAGTATTAGTCGTCTTGGGGTTGGAAGAAGAGACAGGTGGTGTATGGTGGGTGACTTCAATGCCATTCTTCATAATGGGGAGAAGCTGGGAGGGTCAAGGAGAGCTGATAGTCTCTTCAAACCTTTTTCTGAAATGATGTAGATATATATGTGATATGTTGGAGATGTCTAGTGTTGGTAACAAGTTTACTTGGGCAGGGAGAAGAGGAGACCATTGGATCCAGTGTCGTTTAGAAAGAGCCTTTGGTAACAAAGATTGGTTCCTCCATTTTTATGCGTCTAATCAAGCCTTCCTTGATATGAGAGGATCGGATCACAAACCTATTTTGATCAGCTTGATAGCTTCACAGGATTCCTATAGAGGTCAGTTTTGGTTTGACAAAAGATTCCTTCATAATCGGGATGTGGATGGGAAGATGATGAAGTCTGAAGCTGCTAAAGGGGAGATGGCAACTGACTACTTTAATAATCTTTTCAAGTCTTCTAACCCTCAGAGTTTTCAGGAATGGTTCTCGGGTTTTACTCCTAAGGTTATAGTGAATATGAATGATAACTTAATTGCTAAAGTGACGGCTGAGGAGATTAGAGAAGCTGCTTTTTCCATTAAAGCATCTAGTACCCCAGGACCTAATGGCATGACCACCTTGTTCTTTCAACAGTTTTGGAATGTAGTTGGTCAGCAAGTAATCAAAGAGATTACGTTGTTTTTTTATTGTGGCATCTTCCCATCTAAATGGAATTTCACTCATCTCTGCTTGCTGCCAAAGACTCATCATCCTACTGAGATGTCTGATTTGAGGCCAATTGGTTTTTGTTCTGTTTTGTACAAGACTATCTCTAAGATCTTGGTAAGTAGGTTACAACCTATTATGCCTTTGATTGTCTCTGTGAATCAGTCAACGTTTGTTTCTGAGAGGTTGATTTCTGATAATATCTTGGTGGCACATGAGGTGGTTCATAGTCTTAACTCTCATGTGGACATCTCCTCTCATGGCGGTAAAGACTGATATGTCCAAAGCTTACGATAGAGTTGAATGGAGCTACTTGAGATCTTTATTGATTGTCATGGTTTTCCATCATAAGTGGGTTGAGTGGGTAATGATATGTGTCTCTACTATCACTTTGTTGATGTTGATAAATGACAACCCTTTAGTATGATCTCTCCTCAAAGGGGACTTAGACAAGGTGATCTCTTATCGCCTTTTCTGTTTGTACTATGTACTGAAGGGCTCACCCACCTATTGAATAAGGGTCAAGGTGATGGAGGGCTTCAAGGGATCAAATTTACTGATGATGGACCAGAAGTGCATCACTTGCTGTTTGCAGATGACAATTTATTCATGTGCAAAACTTCTCTGGATCAGTGTAATTTTCTCAACAGATATCGGACAGCCACTGGTCAGACCATTAATCTCAGTAAGTCATCAATTACTTTTGGTTCTAAGGTCTCTTTTTTTTTTTTTTGATAGCAATCAATTTGGTTCTTAAAATATCGAATCATAGGAGGCTTGGCATCATTAATGAGGGTGGTGCGGGTACATATTTAGGTATGCCAGAGTGTTTTAATGGTTCCAAGGTGGAAATCTTTAGTTACATAAAAGACAAACTTAAAACTAAACTCTCTGGTTGGTGTGCAAAATTTTTGTCTCAAGGAGGAAAGGAAGTTCTGTTAAAATATGTGGCGCTTGCTATGCCAGTTGTTGTCATGTCATGTTTTAAATTACCAATGACAACTTGTGATTCGCTTTCTAGTGCCATGGCTGACTTCTGGTGGAATAATGTTGAGCATTCCAGTAAAATTCATTGGCAAAGTTGGGAAAAGCTTTGTCTGCCAAAAGATTTGGGAGGACTGGGTTTTAGGAATATCAAGACATTTAATCAGGCCTTACTAGCCAAACATGCATGGAAAATTCTGCAATATACAGACGGTTTGTTTGCAAGACTTATGAAGAGTCGATATTTTCCTCTATCTGACTTTTTGACTGCTAGTATTGGTTCTAGACCCTCATATGGTTGGAGAAGTATCATGTATGGAAGGGAGCTCCTCTGTCAAGGCCTTGTTAAGAATGTTGGAAATAGTAAGTCTTTAAAAGTTTGGATTGATGAGTGGATTGAAGATGAAGTGGAGGGTTGGAGGGCTCCTTTAAGAAAGAACTACTTCTTCAATCCTGATCTCAGAGTTTCTGACTTGATTGACTGGAGGAAAAGGGACTGGGATCCACAGAAACTGAGTGACAATTTCTTTCCTGAGGATATCCAGAGAATTAGAAAGATTAGACATGTGACTGAGCTGGAAGATTTTTATTCTTGGAAGCACAACAAGAGTGGTGACTTCTCTGTTAAGTCTGCATATTGGTTGGTGTCACAGTCTTGCAATCTCCAAGTCAAACTTCAAGGTAAACAACGTCCCTCTACTAATGAGCTGAAAGCAGAGGTTGGAAGTTGAAAACGGACCCATAGATTCAGGTCTTCCTCTGGAAAGCTCTTAATGGTTTACTGCCTATTGCAAAGACATTACAGAGCAGAGGGATGAAGGTGGATGAGAGATGCCAGGTCTGTGGAGGTGACGAAGAATCGGTGAACCATGTTTTATTCACTTGTTCTTTAGCTAGACAAGTTTGGACTAGTGTGACTGAGATCCATTCGGGTGTTTAGTGATATCCATAACCGAACCGGAACCCTTTTTCAGTTCAGTTCGGTTCTTTGGTTCCGATTTATATACCGAGACCTACCCAGGTATTTGTGAAATTTAATCATCAAAAAAAAAAAAAAAAAAAGTAAACTAAAACAAACTAAAATTGAAAATCAAAGGATCGTCAATAACACTACTAAATGTTACGTAGAACCGCTTAAGACAGCCTAACTCGTTAATCACAAACATAACAAATTCAAATATCTAGATTCTAGATGATAATTATCAGATCTCTAGATGATAGTTATCAGATCTATAGTCGTTAAGCGCTTCTGCGTCTTATAGACAATCGCCTTGCATGTTTTTTAAAACACCGATTAATAGGCTTTACATAGCCAATACGACGAAAACAATAATGGTGTACTATAAGAAAGATTCCCAAAGCGAGAGAGTTTATTAGGAAAATCATGTTCATGCATGCAATCGTTGTATGGTTTGGCGCGAGTTGATCATTGTCCAGTTTGGGCTCCATATCATCCATGTGGAAGCAGACATGTTGACATACGGAAACAATCTACACATAATATAACGACAATGGTAAATGATATATAATTGACACTAAATAAGTAAAGATTATGCAAAAGGATGCATGATTAAATGGTACCATAACCTCATCAAAGTTGTGAGAATCAAAAGTCGACACAGCTTTCAGAGTGGCTATTCCAGGCCTCTTTGCCTGGATAACTCCATAGAATGACACAACCAAAATCCTCGTATCTGAGCTGAGCCACTTGTAATCATGACCGGATGCTTTTGCGCATCATATATATATTGAACATCAATTAAGATCTCATACTCATGGCACTTAATAGTCAAACAAGGAAACAAAAGATCATATACCTCCTCTCACAGCTAGATTAATCTTCTGAGAAACATGAGGGGCCCATTGGTCTGGTACCTCCTCTGGATTCTTATGTCCATTAGAGTAAGCATATTCAGAAGAAGCTCCTCCTAGAGAAAGCATGGCCATAACCAAAAAGCACAATGCCAGACGACGGACACAATTGGCCCTCATTCGAACCTAGAACACTAATTAAACACAAAGTCAGATTTGATACTGGAGCAGCAAAAATCTAATGAATAAAGCCCAACGTTAAACTTAATATATACATTAATTCATTTCCGATTATGAATTCCTGAAACGGAACAAACGTATAGGTCCCTACTCACGAGAAATCCGGTACGGCAACCGAACAGCATAAAACCCAACCATTCTATTCTAACACAAAAGAAACTAACAACAAGAAGAGAAATCACGCAGCCATGTGGTGAGCACAAAGCGAACTATTCTCAGTAACTTAAGATATCGGAGAGACATTTGTACCTCTTAATCCAAATATCTGCAGAGGAAGGACAAGAGAGCGAGACGGAGGAGAGTCGGCAAAGATCGATGGTGGACTATATATTAGGTACGTGAAAAATAAAAGATCAATTTGTTACATAACACTAAGGGGGTGTTACTGGATTGATGTTTTCAAAGTTTTTTTTTAGCTTAACCGATAAATTTGCAAGTATTTTGATGAGTTTTGACCAAGTCACTTCAATACACGAACACGATGGAATTTCTCTTGTATATTGGTATAGATTTTGACTGAGTTCCCTTTCCACTACAACCATATCCAAGGATTCCTTGCCAAAAAAAAAAAAAAAAAAAAAAACTAATTTAGTTTTAAAACATAATTTTAGTTTCCCTTTACAAAATAGCTAACCAACGTTTCTAACCAATTTTCTTTTGATACATAAAATATCAAAATCGCTCGATGTTTTATGTGACATACTCAAAGGACGAAACGATTTTTCGCAACCAAAACTAGTAACGCCAATAATATTCAATAAATGATCCATGAGTTTAGATGACAAGCTTCAACTCTTATAAATCCTCTAACAATTGTTTCTATGTTTTGTTTTATAACTTTTGAAAGTCCATGTTTTAATTGTAAAAGCTCATGTGTTTGCCCATTAAATACCACAAAGCTCAACACGTAATTTAATTTTTCAATAACGCTAGGATAAAGCTTTTCACTAATTATTTACATATTTTTTTAATATTTTCAAAATTAAATATAAAAGAATAATTTAAGAGAAATTGCATCTTATACTCCCAAATCAAGTTTTTGGGACAAAAAAAAACACTCAAAAGTTTATTGGACAAAAATAGCATATTAGGCGCGTTAATAGGAGTTAAACTCAAGGAGCTATGCGCCTTACTTTCTGGCCAATTAACATCTGGAAAGTTGTACAAATATATGTTAAAGTATGAACCTAAAAACAGTTCTGAGATGGATTATTAATGGCGTCGTTTGGAGGTCAAAGAGTTATTGGATCTTGCTGAAAATTGATGGAGTTATTCATGGTACTACATGCTAAAGAATAAACGGTGAAATTGAGTTTTCAACGGTTAATTTCTGATTTAATCATGCATTTCTGAGATGGTTTGGTATAGAGCAAATTATGATAAGATTTATTGTTTGGTTGGTAAAATGAGCTTGGATGAGCCGAAGCTCTGCATGAGCATTTATGAGGCATTGATCTATGTCTCGGTTGATGGAAAACTAATCTTGAAACCTATGTTCGAACCGTAGCGTCTCCGACAAAATGCGAAGGTGAGGGTGGTAATCGTGGAAACAAAATGGTTATCCTCTAAGCATGTTCTTCATAAATTGTTTGTATAGGTTTGGAAACTATGTGCTTGTTTGTATGTTCGTTGATTGATATTGTGTGATATGGTAGGATGGTATGATGTATGATAGGAAAACTTTATATATAACATGCATCATATGATATGAGTTGTTGTGGTGGGGGCACGAACCTAAGATTGGTTTTGTGTTTCATGATGGGCGAACCTAGGATTGGTTTCGGGCCTGGCGATTAGACGAGCCTGAGACTGGTTTCGTGCAATACAAAGCCGATGGGATTTCGGTTTAGCGTTATTGTCGATTTTGTATATGGTTGGATATTGTATTAAAATGTTATGTTGTTGGACGTATGGTTGAGAATATGGAGTCTCATTCTATGTTATGCACTGATTGTTGAGTGTGATTAAAATTTCGCCATTGTGTTCATCCCTTTTATCTTTTCCCTTAGGTTAATAAGCTTTATGAGATGTAGAACAAAGAAATAAGCGTTTTGGCGGGACCATATGAATCCATATGAATAACATGCTGACTTCGCCTGTAAGGCGGGCCGGGTGTTACAAACATATTTTTCGCTCGCGGCAAGAAAAAATATCGTCAAAATTTTCCCGCAAAAAAAATTTCCGTCCGACTTTTCCCGCCAAAAAAAATTTAAAGAAATTCAGGAAGAATTCAACGAAATTCAGGAAGGATTCTACGTAATTCATGAAAGATTTCACGATCCGTGAATTTCTTCATGAATTACGTGGAAATTTGTTTTGCAGAAAAATGTTAAAAAAAAATTTTGGGGGGGAGGGGGCGGGGGAATTTTTGACAAAAAAATTGACGGAAAAAAATTTTTACGTCGCGAAAATTTTTTGGTTGAAAATTTCTAATTTTATTTATTTATAGTAACTAAATTAATTATTTATATTTGATATTGAAGTTTATATTGCTATTCGTAGAACTTTTGAAATGTAATGCTATTTGGAGAAGAAAATTTTAGTTTGGTTACGAAGAATCTGCGGAAAAGAGGACTTGAGTGTGATTTAGGATGTGCCAGATGTGGCGCATTTGAGGAAACAATTAATCATACACTTTTTCAGTGCCACCCGGTACGACAGACTTGGGCGTTTTCACAGATTCCTACAGTAATGGGGAATTTCCCCACGGAATCTATTTATGTGAATTTGGATCACTTATTCTGGAGAATACCTTCGGAATTTAACTCATCAGCTTTCCCATGGATTATCTGGTATATTTGGAAAGCAAGAAATGAAAAAATATTTGAAAATATAGATAATGTTCCATTAGAGGTATTACGGTTAGCGGAAAAAGAGGCACAATTATGGCTTTCAGCTCAACTAGAGCTTACTAATGAAAATAAGGGCCCAGTGGAAGTGGTAAATCGATATCGAGTGTGGGATGCCTCACTTGATTCGACCTATTCGGGATACCGTTGTTTTGTGGACGGATCTTGGAAAGAAAGCGACAAGTTCTCCGGGACAGGATGGTTTTGTACATCATCAACTGGAGAACCGCCAACAATGGGAGCAGCGAACCTCCGTAGAAGTCTATCTCCATTACATGCAGAAGTCGAGGCCCTTCTTTGGGCAATGAAGTGTATGATTGGTGCAGATAACCAAGAGGTAACGTTCTTTACAGACTGTTCTGACCTGGTGAAGATGGTGTCTTATCTTCACCCAACCGAATGGCCGACATTTAGGAAGAATTTTCAAGTTTTTCTTTATCTTTAATTTCTCGTAGTGCTAATACAAAAGCGGATAATCTTGCACGACAAGTTCGTACAGAACCGCTTCACATCACGTATGTAAACAACATTCCTCAGGAATGACTTTTTTAAGCTCTAATTAATTTCGGATGACAAAAAAAAAAAAAAAAAATTTAGTTTGGTTCTATTTATGTCAATATTAACTTAATTATAATATTTATTTAAATTTTTGTTAGTTATTTTATTAATATTATTTTATTTTATATTTTCAATTAAGACTCATCCTCTCCGTCCCTCTTCTCTCAAAACCCTCCACGTCCGATCCACTCAGTTTCTTCAGATCTATAATTTTGGCCCCAGAACTTTCAAGGACATCCCTTTCCTACTTGAACTTCTCTTCGATCTTCTCGTACTCTCCACTTTTGGTTTCGGAATCTTCTCCATTTTCATTAGAAATAGCGATTACGGGAGCTCCTCTTCCTTCCCCTACGATTTCACCTCTAGCTCCTGCGTCAAAAATTCTACCTTTACGAAATTTTCGGATGGGTACTACTAGGCTTCTTCGAGTGTCATGTACGGTATGGTTTCTCCGTCTGATTCAGTCTTTGAGAAGGATTTGATCTGGACCCTTGTTGTAACGCTCATTTTTAAGTGTGCCTTTCTGTTTTAGCGTCCTGCTTTTGCTCAAACACTACACTAAGCAGATTGTTTATGCTTGTTTACCTCTCTTTGTCCTTTTCCCCATCTTTTTTCAATGTCTATTGGTTTGTCGCTTGTACTCTTAGCTCTTCTTGTAGCGACGCCCTCCCTCTAGCTTACAGAATTCTTGTCCTAGTCTTCGTTTTCTTGATCATCGGGATCGTTGTCTGGATCATAGTAGCTAATTGGCACAAGATTGAGCTCACTATCCAAATCATCAGTGTTGCATCGGATGCCTTGTCCAAAAATTTGAAACTTTTTGTTGTGTTGCCGCTGCTGATTCTCGGGCTAGTGGTGTACTATGCGCCGATTGTGGTGTTCTTGGTGTTTGCAAGGTTTAATGGCAAGTTTGTGCCACGAGAGTTGGATGGTCACTACTTTTGTGAGTGGAAGGAAGATTCTTGGGTTCCTGCCTGCCTATTATGTGCTTGCCATTTTAACGATGATCTGGTCTCTTGCTGTAATGGTGGAAATGCACGTGTATGTGATAAGTGGAACTATTGCTCAGTGGTATTTCTCCAAGGAAGACTCAATGGTATTCATAGTCTAGACCTTATAGATTGTATACATGTATTGGAATCCATCATCTGCACTTGTTTGGTACTTTAAATGTGAAAAGAGACAGCAGACAGTGGTATTTTCTGAAGGAGATTATAGTTTTGAGGATCCAAATTTGCACTAGTCTCCAAATCTGTTGTTGGCTTATGTCAAATCATGTGTGAATCTTATTCTTTTTCGTATCTGTGTCTTTAGGAACGCATTTGGTCAATCCTTTGGTACAATATGTGTATCAGGACTTCTCATCTGCATTGTTCGTGTGGTCCGGGCAATTGTGGACAATGCAAGAGAAGAGAACCCACAAGGGATAGTGAACATGGTTCTCCTTTGCTGCGCAAACGCCTTACTTGGAGCCCTTGACAATCTCAACAAGTTCACCATCGAATTTGCTGCAATAACAGGGGAAGCCTATTGCACCTCTGCAAAAATGACTTACGAGCTCTTAAGACGCAACCTACTGTCAGCTGAATTTGTCGAAACGGTTTCCACCAGAATCCTAACCGGAATAGTCTTTGTCCTCTCAGCCGCATATGCAGTCGCGGTAAGTATTATCTTTTGCTTTTCACCAACTAAGCATTTAATAATTGTCTTAATCACTAATTTCCGGTTTGATGATGCACAGACATGGGGTGTTCTGAGAGGAGTGAGCAACCTGGGTATAGATTCGTATGTGGTGGCTATACTCGCGTGGCTGTTACTGATTGAGGATGTGATTGACACAATCTATGTCTGTTATGCGATTGATCGAGACAAAGGGGATATTTGTTAGCAGGAAGTTCACGAAGTTTATGTTCACAAGATCTTCTCTCATCCCAAATGCTCTTAATGCAGGAAAAAAGATACCGAGCTACACGAAGTATAACGAAATACATGGCTATACATGCCAAGTTTAGAAATGTACAATCAACTACACGAACTAAATATATTGCATGCCCACATATACCAACTATATGATGACATGTGATCAACATCACGAACATTTTATTCTGGTACACCAATCATTAAAATCCGGCGATGACCATCGTTGACCGGTATTACAACAAAAATATTCAAAAAAATTATTTTTATTTGTTTTAAAATTCTATTGAATCTTTTATGGTACTGTATAATTAAAGAAGAAATCCCATTCTATATTCAACATAAAGAAATTTTGTATTAATACATTGATTATTATAATTAGTTAGTTTTCTCAATTTCAAAACTAAAATAAAAGTGAAATACAAATAATTAAGCGAATTACTTATTTTTACATTGTCAATAAAAACATTAACTTATTATTTTACAAATATTTTTGCTAACATCAATATAGTTAATTTTCTATTTCCTATATATTAAAAAAAATTGCAACCTTTTTTGTTGTTTACGCGTTATTACGAGAATGTTTTTTAATAATTTTAATTACAAAAGTTACCAATGTATTACGTTTAGACTAAAGAGTATGTAAAATTTTCTATATTTTTAACTATGTATCATAATTTTGATTTTAGCATAAAACTTTATATTTTTTACCATGCCAATTTTAGATTAAAGTGTCATAAACTCAATTTTTCTAATAAAATTTATTTTATTTCACTTTTAATTTAGTTTTGAAGTTGAAAAAATTAACTAATTATTGGAATCATACAAAAAAATTTTTGTTAAATATAGAATGTGTTTTTTATTATTATACAACACCATAAATGATTCAATTGAATATTTCTTTTAAAATAAATAAAAATATTTTTTTGAATATTTTTGTTGCTCAATGCCGGTCAATACCGGTCAACGATGGCCAACGCCAGATTTTGATAATTGGTGTACGAGAATAAAATGTTCGTGATGTTCACCACATGTCGTCATATAGTTGGTATATGTGGGCATGCAATATATTTAGTTCGTATAGTTAGTTGTACATTTTAAACCTTGGCATGTGTGACCATGTATTCTGTTATACTTCGTGTAGCTCAGTATTTTTTTTCCCTTAATGCATAGCAGAAGATGATCCAACGTCTTTGCTTGTTGTATTTGTTTTTTGTTTGTTTGCACCATTGTAAATTCCTAACTAGAGAGTTGAATCTGGTGAATTGTCGTTTGTCTTCTTGGGGTTTCTATTGATATTTTGTAGAGTTATGGGATAATGTTGAATAAAAGAAAGACTTATTTTAGGAATTACTGTAATGTGCTATGTGTTTCTTTTATTAATTGAGGGGGTGATTGGGAGAGGATTTAAGTACCGTAACTTTAATTTAAAGTCTTCAAAAACCAAAAACTTACCAATCACGGTTTTAGTGTTTTAATTTTTTTTTAAAGCTTTTAAAGTCTTACTATCCACTTTTACTTCTTTTATGTTCAATTTCTTAAAGTCACAAATATGAAGCTTTTGAAACTGTAGCAAATAAATATTAAAAATATGTTTTTTTCTCTTTCTTCTTCCCTATAATGATTGAAAATTATGTGTAATTTATCACAAAGATATTTTGATAAATTAATAATAATATTTTTACTAGGCCTGGGCATTCGGATACCCGTTCGGGTTCGGTTATTTTTTTCGGGTATCGGGTGTATTTGAGTATGGGGTCAAGACCCATTCGTGTATTCTAAAAATTCGGTTCGGGTTCGGGTCGGTTCGGGTATTTTAATAAAAAAGCAAAATACCCGAAAATAACCAAAAATACCCAGAATATTTTCGGGTTCGGATCAGGTTTGGGTTTTTAACTCATATATACCCAAATCTAACCGAAATACCCGATTTCTCGAAAATACATTGGTTACTCTTTACCCAAATATAACCATAAATATCTAAAATACCTAATATATTCGGATTTATGATTGTAATTTTAAGTATCCGGGTATTATAAATATAAAAATAACTAATATTTTTAGGTGTATATTTGTATTTGGGTACATTCGGATATTGGATTCGGTTCGGGTTCGGTTCGGGTTTTTTTCGGGTAGGAAGTTAGGACCCATTCGGGTATTTTTAAAAATCGGGTTCAGGTTCGGTTCGGGTATTGTTCGGGTTTTTCGGTTCGGGTATTCGGTTCCGGGTATTTTGCCCAGGCCTAATTTTTACTATCGTTATTTTGAGATCTATTTTTTATAATTTGTTTTGCATCAACGACCATCATATATAATGGTGCTAAACTTTGTGTTGCTTTTTATCAAAACAACCATTGTGGCTCAAATGAAAATAAACGTAAAATATTAGGGTTTAAAAGGAGAAAGTAAAAAGTAAAGGGCTATTTAAAGAAGCACAGGGAGAAAGAGGGCCTTTTAAAGAACCACATGGAGAAAGAGAAAACGAAAATTGAATTGGCAAAAAAAAAAAAAAAAAATTAAATCTGTTATAAATCATAGGGATGGACTCGTTAACCGGCCCAAGGCCCATAAGGTTTTATCTCTTTTTTGTGTTCCCGTGTAAACTCATATATATACACTCTTATGTGTTAATAAGATTACACAGTTTATAACACGTTATCAGCACGAGTTTGCTCTAGAGAAATAAAACCACCTTCAAAAAGCTCTAACCCTAAAAATCGCTAAAACCGTAAAAACCGCACATCATCAGATCCGATCGCAGTACTGCTCATTGCGGTACTGTTCATCATCGACACTGTTCATCATCAATACTGTTCATCGTCGACACTTTTCATCGTGGTACTGTTCATCACGGTACTGTTCATCGTGGTACTGTTTGCGGTTCGTTGCAGCAGCGTGAGTTACCGAGGTCTTTAGCTCCCGGTCCCAATCAATTCAGAATTCAATCAGTGGTTAAAAGATTAAACCCTAAATCGCGATGATATCCCTAAATCCTAAATTGATTTTTGCTTGATTGTGTGAAACCCTAAATCCAAAATTCGAGAGATTGAATGCTCTTTAAATCATGGAATCGAATTGAGTTTTATGGATTTATTGATAGAAACCCTAATCGCGATCCTATATCGCGAAAGCCAAACTGCAAGTTGCAGTTGAATTCTAAACCTAACCGAACTTATGTTCGGTCTAAACCCTAGGTTAAACCGAAAGTAAACCGAAACCCTAAATCCTAGGTTATACCGGTTTAATAAATCCTGTCACGGTTTAATATCAAATTTCCCATAAATAGAAAGTTCCATATAAGGAAAGTATCCAGAAATAGAAAGTTTCGTAAAATAGCAAGTTTCCCAAAATAAAAGGCTCTCTAAAATAGCAAGTTTCCCAAAATGGAAAGTTACCAAAATAGAAAACTCCTTCATAAGAAAAAATTCCAAAACCCTAAAGTACATGTTTGTTTAGGATTTCTTTCTAGATGAGAAATAGAAAGTTTCCATAAATGGAAAGTTCCATATAAGGAAAGTTTCCATAAATAGAAAGTTCCATACATAAAACCGAAACCCTAGCAAAAACCCTAGTACTATAAATCGCGGATGCTAACACCCTAAAATTTAACCGCGAGATCCTAATATCCTAATCTAGTATGATCCGATTGTTTGGTTGTTTTTTTGTTGCATACTAGATCAATCTTCTAGGGTTGATTTCATCCATATATATATAACATGATTGTTTAGAAAACACTTGCTGAAGACAAGCATGGCTCGGTCTTAAATACCGCATTACTTGGTCTAACCGATTACATGAGTTCTCATTTAACTCTATATATTGTAGATGTCAGAAATCAACTATTATGAATACACGACATTCAATGCCTTTGGTGACAATTATTTACAATGGACTTTGGACACTGAGATTGTCCTAAAGGAAAAAGGGCCTGGTGAATCTATTGTGGAAGGAAACAATGTCACCAGAAGAGAAAGATATAAGGCGATTACTAACATACGCCATCACCTCAATGAGAGTCTCAAAATTAGTACCTCACTATTAAGAATCCTCTGGACCTCAGGACATAGTTGAAAAAAAACAATCAATATAACCACCAAAGAACGGTGCTATTACCCAAAAGTCCGATTCGATCGAAAGAATCTCAGATTCCAGTAATTCATATCCATGAATGAGTATAACTCAGCACTATTTAAAATAGTGTCAATACTGAGATTCCGTGGTGAGGAAGTTAATGAGAATGACTTGCTAGAGAAAGCATTCTCGACCTTTCACACAAACAATATATTGCCTCAGCAACAATATCGTGAAAAAGGTTTTCACCACATATGCAAGTCTAAACTCTTGTTTTGCTACTTGTTGAGCAAAACAATGAGTTATAAATAGTGAAATGAGACCTCCTGGTCCTACCCCATTATCATAAGCCCATTGGGCTGAAGAGCCTAAAGAGCCTAAAGAGACTAAAGAGACTAAAGAGTCTAACCACGTCCAAAGAGATAAGTATCATGGCCACAGTCATGGTAAATGGAATGGACGTGGTAGAAGTGGCAATTATAATTTATATGATCAAGGAAACCATTCATATGGTTAAGGCCGCCGACCCGACTTTGGTCGTAATCTAGGTAGAGGCCGCGTTATACCCAAACCACAACACTCAAATAAACTTGTTTGCCACTGATGAGGAATGGGGAAACCATTGGACTAAGACGTGCATGACACCTAAGCATCTCGTTGATCTCTATCAAGAGAGTTTGAAAAGAATCTAGAAGCTCATTTAGTTCATCACGATGGTGAAGAAGATTTCGATCATGAGATAGATGACTATGAGACTTCGGATTGCCTAAAAGAGGCTTAATTGTTTTCAGCATCTAAGTGTTCTTGATTTATTTTCTTGACTTATTTTGTTTTGTCTTGATGTTTTCTATGTTCTATGACTTTGAATTGATTGATTTATGAGTTATGAGAATTCAATAAACGAAATATCTAAAGACATAGTTCATTAGCCAAATTCCGAGTATAGCTAAATTTAGTGAAGGCTAAGGGCAGGCCCATGGCAGGCCCACATTCCCAAGGGCACGCATCCTCAGATGCTTCATATTTACCCAGCTCAAAGGGGCTTGTTGAGTTTCAAAGAAATGTGTTTGAATGATCCCAACATTGAAACTAAGGGTGAAGGGAACAAAG